AAGCCAAGTTAAGCTTTTCATTGGGGCAAGAATAAAAACGAAACATCCAAAAAGTAGGTTTCTCCTTCTTATGAATAACATTAACTGATTCTGACAAATATGGCCCAACCAAGAAAATGATGAGTAAATTTCCTAAGTGCTCTTCTGCTGAACACTAAAGCTAATAATATAAAAAATGGTGGAGGAGGAGGGTACTGTCAGGGAGGGAAGGAGAGGGCCCACTTCACATTCTCTGGCCCAAGGGGTTCCAGTAGTACATACTCTATCACCCCACACATTTTCCATTTTTTCCAGGGAGCGTTAAATCAAACTAAGCAGCGTTAACTGAATGGATCTGGCCCTCCTACGAGGACCTGATGGCCTGGGCCCAGAGACACCAGGTCTCCGGGCCTCCCCGGGGAGGGAGCCTGGGAGGGTGGGACCCCCGCAGGGGCTGTTTACCTCAACTCTCGGAAGGAAGGTGATCTGCGTGGACCCTCCGCCCAAATCCAGCATGCCCACACTGTTGCTTCCTGGGGATTTCAAACTGCCTGGAGCACAGGAGGAAAAACCAACCCAGCACTGTCACGTTAGTAAACAGATGAGTACAGCAGACAAGGAAGGGGAGGTTAGAAGCCTGGCCCTTCAGTGGAAACAAAAACAGAAGCAGCGGCAGCTATTTGAAACTCTCCACATAAAGACACACCGTGTTTAAGAGACATGAGCAATGGCTCCACTGGCTGTGGCTCGAATGTGGAAAGGAGAGGACAACACTGGCTGTGGCAGAGATGCTGGGCCGGCCACACCTGCTGCTCCTGCTCGGAGACGCTGACTTCCCCGATACCCCACAGGCCCCAGCCATGCCCCCCGCCCCCCACCCAGCTTGGAGGCTAGGCTCCTGATGTGTCACTTAACAGGGTTCCCTATTCCCCAAGGGGCCAGGAAACGGCTTTCTTTTCTATATACGTGTCAGCCACTCTGGTCTTTTCCATCATTTTACAAAGGGGCAAAACTCCACAGGTACTGATTAATCTAAGAAAAGTAACTCCTTGCTGCCTGGTTCCAAAACAGAGGTTTCTGCTCCCTGTTCTACCTGCTGTCGAGGAATTCAGTTAGAAGGTGATCAGCATGTACATCATGTTTAATATTCAAAGTGACCAGCTTTATTCCTGACTTCCCAGAAATGAGAGGACAGGGCCCCGGCGGCGGCGGCTGCTGCAGGAGGAGGGTAGCGTGCGCTGGGGGAACCCACCGGGACTGTGGAGAGGAGAGCAGCCCTTCCTGGGCACATACGTCTGTGAACTCATCGCCGGCCCTGCCAAGCCAGGCGGACACCCCACCCATTCCAACTACCTACTCTGAGCCAGAACTTGGCAAAAACCCCGAGGGGGTATTTTAAAGAGTAGAAAAGAGGCCCCTGCTCTCAAGAATGGGGTCTGAGCTGTTAGCCTCCATGATGAAGTGGATGTACCTGTTAGGAAGTTGACGGTGATCCAGGCTGAAATGCCTACGAGAGAGTCACAAAGAGCATTGAGTCACGCGAGGGGCTGTGGACAACATATGGAGACAGGTGCTACCTTTAGGTTTCAGGAGCGCAAACTGACCACTTCCTCACTACCCTCCGCCTTCAGATCAGGGACAGAGGGAAGATTGAGTCATGCCATGCAGTGGCTTCTAGCAGACAGTTTTAGAAGGTACCATCCTAAAAAACTAGAATACTCTGCCAAATGTCACATCTCACTCCTTTATCAACTTCCTCTTTTTTAAAAAAAATATATTTTATTGATTTTTTACAGAGAGGAAGGGAGAGAGATAGAGAGTTAGAAACATCGATGAGAGAGAAACACCGATCAGCTGCCTCCTGCACATCTCCCACTGGGGATGTGCCGGCAACCAAGGTATATGCCCTTGACGGGAATGGAACTGGGACCCTCAGTCGCAGCGGACGCTCTATCCACTGAG